ACAAAAATAAAAAAAACAAAAAGATCTCTATTACATATTATAAAAAAAATATATTCTACAATAAAATCCCACATCTTCTGCACAGGGGCGGTGGGGCGGAGGGGGGGGGGGAGGGATAGTGGTCACCAGTTGTGTATCGAAATCTTAGAAAATTCAAAAAAAAGGGGAAGGACCCTCTTTTTCTTGAACTTCTAATAAAGAGCGAATTGAACATAAATTGTGACTTGCAACAGCAATGATTTAGTCAAGGTATATCTAGATAATGAAGATTAAGTTTTTTTTCTACGTGTCGAACAACGTTGCATGGAAGTGGCTGATTTCTCAGTCATATTCAAGCTTCGAAGTTCTGGTGGGGGCTTCGAAATTCTGTGTGACTGTGATTCTGCATAATAAATATGAACTTGTTTTTTTGAAAAATGCAGCAGGTAAAAAACTCAACATGTACCTTCACGAAATTTTAATTTATGTTCCCAAACATCATGATTCTTGTCGCCTTTAAGGAAGAATACACGATGACCACCCATTGATTGATTAGGAGAATACGTCAAGAAATTGAGCAATTTTTTATAATGTTTACGATATCTTGTCTCAAAATAATCAGTACATTTCTTATAACGTTCATTGTTAATCGCGCCTTTTTTATTTTCTGCGTTCATATTTTTTATGATAGAAAACGAAGGTGGAATAATAATACTTGCAAGCTTATTTTATAGTGTCTCGTTCATCTGCGATTTTTTTCCCGTTATGTAAACAAGGTGAATTACACTTTATTATTTTTTCTAAGGCATTATATGAGAATGAAATACATTCAAATTTCGTGATAAATAAAACTACATAAAGGCTCTGGAGAGATACGGAAAAAAAACAAAAAACAGGAAAGTGGAATTCAATGGTTGCCAGAAAAAATATATTATTCCTTCGCCATCTAAAAATATTCATGTTGATGAAATCATAATCGAAACAACAACACGGCATTCATCTATGAAACTTTAATCAATCACCAAAAAACTAAAACTTCTTTAATAGGGTTCCAATCGGAATGGATAAAATCTTGAAAGTCAGAATTCATTTCTTATCAATATTGTAGTCATTGAAAGAAAATATTTTTGAATCTTTATCGGTACAATAAGATAGAAATCTGTCGAAAATAATTATTTTGATGATATTTTTAAGCCTCATAATTTACCAATAGAATATAATTATTTAGCTTTTCATCGTAGCTCATTTCAATTTTTTTATATATTGATTATTTACTTTTTGTTCGCTAATACTGTTCATGGTTCATGATGTCCCGTAGGCTTATCGCCCGCTGGGACGAACCACTGTTCGGACTAGTTTCTTCCACATCCGTCGGTCTTGTGCTAGGTGGAACAAATCTTGTCTGCTGCGTTCACACAATTCTATGATGTCGTCCAGCCATTCTCTACATGGACGTTCTCTTCGGGGTTTTCCCTCCAGTTTCGCGAACACTGTATATTTCATCAGTCTATTATCGTCCATTATACAGATATGGCCGAATAATCTTAGTTTTCTCTCCTTTATTATGTCAATTATGGTTTCTTCTTTCGATATCTTTTTCCTTATGTCTTCATTACGAACCATACTTTTCCAGGTAATAGTTAGAGTCCGTCGGTAGCATTTCATCTCGAATTCAAGTAGTTTCTTTTTGTCAGCTTCTTTTAGGGTCCATATTTCTGAGGCGTATAGCAGTATGCTAAAGACACATGTTGTCAGAACCTTGCATTTGTTCTTCATGTTAGCTTCTTGCCGTTCCATATGTGTTTTATAGAAGCCAACGCTCCTGTTGCTTTACCTATTCTTCTTCTGATCTTGTCTGAGCAATTGTTGTCCCATGCTATTAGGCTTCCGGGGTATACGAATTTTTCAATGTTTTCTATTGTTTTTCCAGCTAAGGTATGGGTGTTCATGTTTTGAGAGAAGTACTAAACCCACACCCACACCCTCCGAACACTCATATCCACCACCCAGTACTGATCTACAGACGCTTGATAATCGAGCCAGCCGTTCTCTACACACAATGCCGCGGCTGCTGCTGCAAATCCTGTGGCAGTTGAACAAATAAGCTGAAGAGTATCGAGTGTATCAGATTCTCTCTTTGTTTTTCCATCTCGCCAACCACCACTCAAGTTCACTACGCATTTTTCAAGACGGTAAACACACCAGCTTGATCCGATATCGAGTTCAACCACTAAATTTTATTCAAATTTCGCATGTATACTTTCCCATCTAGGTGCTACATGGCCAAAAACGTTGCTGTCGCTTGATAACGAACGCATGATTGAATAGATACGTGTGTTGAAATTTTTTTTTCTTTTATCTATAAGCCGTGATAAATAAATAAAGGTCTTTTCTGTTATCTAGCTGATAAGGAAAAATACAAAGGAAAGCCTTGGCTTTTTCACTCTATAGTTGAATACCTTACGCGAGACGTCATTATACGTATGTATTGCATGACAGAATTTTCATTTTTCACCATTCAAAGCGAGCTGCACAGATGGTGCACATCGAGTGAGTAAATAAATTGTCCCTCCGTCAAATACTTTGATAACAGAGTTTAATTGCAATTTTTTTAAATATCTGAAGTAGTTTCTTTTTTTTAACAAATATGGATGTGTGAGAGTGTGGGATAGAGGTTAAAATAAGAGCCTCATATAGACTCAACAACCTGCTCGCGAGATTCACATATGATCCTAAGTGTTATGTATCTCCACATTGTTACAAAGTCTATCAGTGACGCTTTCCTTTGACTTGTACACGATCCAGTTCAAATTGAGATCATATTTCTCTTTTCCAAAACAAGCAGTCACACATGCAAAATCTTGGAATGCTATCATTTTTCTATGAAAACTGTGTTTCAAAGCCGTTTATGTACAAACTATATTTCGTAGTCTCTTTTCAGCAACTATTTCTAACCAACGATTATTTTTCTCTCTTATTCAATCATATTAAAACACTAGATTTATGTCGCCAGTAATAAACAGAACATTATTCGAAGCTTATTTTTTGTGATTGATTAACGATCTTGCAACAGCCATAGAGTGCAAATGCACGCTTCAAATAAAAATAAGGTGGAATCAAATTTATTTACTAATGTTTAAAAGGTGGAGGATGCTAGATGAATTTAACCATTAATAAAATGTTTCTCTTTAAATGAACTTCTTGAGACCATAGGAAATTTTTATGAGGTCGGTTTTTCTTTGATAATAGTATCAATTATCTTGAAAAATTGCAGTTGTCTCGGGTCAGTCATCATTGTACTGAAATCCAATTGATTGAATACATAGGCGAAAGCTAAGTGTAACGATGGTGATGCAAAGGTAAGACCGCCACCCAAACCTAATAACGAAAATAAAAATATGCAATTACCTATGATTGATTCAATTTGAGTTTCACTTCTTCGATAATGAAATATTTCAATTGGATAAATACAAGTTGGAAGTCATTTTTTGGGGGGATTAAAGAAAACTATATCAAAACTGTAGTAAAGCTATTTATAGAACCAATCATCTCTCGATAGCTCACCTTTATGACCAAATCCGTCTTCGCCCAGAACTTTGAAGAAATCACCACGTAATTCGAATCCTCCTCTTGAAAATTCCGTCATTAGACCAAAAAAGGAGTGATCGCGTTCATCTAGTGGTGTGACATTTTCAATAGCCGATTGTAAAGTTTTCTTGCTGAGAAGACACTTTGTGATTGTATCATTTTCATTAACATCGCCAATCAGCAACGCGTATATTCGTGCCAACGAATGAGCATTGGAAATACCATTAACAGCTGGCATGACAGCTTGATGTGTTCGCGGTTGGTTGAAAACGACGTCCCAATTACTAGGCGCTTTCAGAGGAAAGGCACCACTACATGTCATTGACTTTTCGGTGAGTCGATCCATTTCAGGCAAAGTAGCAGAGCCAGTACCACTCTGGAAGAGAAAAGAAAAATAAGGGGCGTGAGGAAGCGGAAAGTCAGCATCCTTGACTAAAACAGCTATCGATAAATTCTATCCGAGAGAACAATCAAGAATTTGTGCTCTATCTCAATTCAATAAGATCTGACTCATGCAAAAACTTATTCTGTTGACGCATCGCTTAGGTCCTGGTAAACCTCATGTTATTTTCAACCTTATCTAAATCAATTGTTGCTGATTTCTGATTTTCAAGAATTGATTGAAGTTTTCAACTAAATTTTGACTATGAAAATTTCATATAGATATCTGAAAATTTTACACAAAAGCACAAGAAAGCCAATACATTATAATGCAACTTTGCGCAAATAAGACAACGAGTTCACATAAAGTCTAGCATGCTCTCGATTTCGAAATTCATGCAGGAGGAGATAAGCAATGTTTGAACAAGAACTCCTTATAAAAAAGATATCATGTATGAAAGAAACAATTTCATCTTGAGATTCAATTCTTAAGAATACAACAGATATATATGTAGAGAGTGTTGGTTATATTATATGATTAAGAAAAAGAGAAAACAAAATGGGAATTTTTGATCATTAAACGATCATCTTCAATCAGGAAAACTTGATGGAACACAACAGGATAGAGATGAAACATGAATTACTAACAGCGTAACCAAAATTTTGACATCATAATTCTAAAAATAAATGCTTAAACTATTTGTATTAAAACATATTTAATCAATAACATTAACTCATTGTGTTCCATCAAGTTGAAGGTTTCCTGGTTGAAAATGGTGGTTTAATGACTGAAAATTCCCATCTTGTTTCTTCTTTTGCTTAATCATATAGTAAAACAAACACTCTCCAAATATATATATATATCTTGCATCCTTAAAAAGATATCCTTTATTTTAACGTTGTAAATATGTATATTGCGAAATAGTTTGATAGTTGCTACACGAATGTTCTGATTTCTACAATGTTTTGCAAATAAAACCTCATATCTCAAGATTTGGAAATACCTTATGGAGTAGCTTTTGAGATGAACTCTCTTACTTTGGCAAGAAGAGGAGCGATACGTGCTTCGACTTTGTCATCAGATACTCCGACATAGAATTCGGGGTCCAATTCATCCCGTACAAACTGACTATAAGAGCGATGTTGTGGATCGACTCGCTGAATAAGTTCACCAACCAAAACACCGATTGTGTGGGCATGATAACCATGTGTTGATCCAGGTTCCCAATAAGGTTTCTGTTCAGCCAGCAGAGAAGCCATTCGACCCCAATCAAACACATCCTCAACTGTGAGTTGTTGGTCAACGCATGGTAGACCAGCTCGATGAGCTAATACATCGCTCACCGATATGTTCTACGATACAAATACATATGAATAAAAAATTGATATATAGAAATAAATTTTAAAGTGGATTCTTTTTTAGTTCATTTCAGAAAGCTCGATGCTGCACTCTGCCGTCCGTAATATCATTTTATTCGTCTTTTTCGTTAGTTATTGATAGATAGATATGAATCCAATGATTCATTCTTGCTATATAGCCATTTTTTTCTCCTTTTGTTTATTCTCGAATCGCAGTCGTTTCAATCACGTTGTCTATTCCTTTCTTCGTTTTTTTCTTTTTTTTTATCGAATAAAGATGAATAGAAGAACTCAGGGTTTAGCACAAACGAATAGTTATCTTCATACCTCCTTTCCATTAACAGCGAACTCAGGCCAGTACTTGGCTACAGGCGCTTGATAATCGAGCCAGCCGCTCTCTACACACAATGCCGCGGCTGCTGCTGCAATTCCTTTGGAAGTTGAAAAAATAAGCTGAAGAGTATCTGGTGTATAAGGTTCTTTTTTAGTCTTTCCATCTCTCCAACCACCACTCAAGTTCACTACGCATTCTCCTAGATGATAAACACATAGGCATGCTCCGACGTCAACTCCATCGACTAAATTTTGTTCGAATTTCGCACGTACACTTTCCCATCCAGATGCTACATGGTCAAAAACGTGGATGTCGCTTGATGACGAAGACATGATTGAATAGATTATCTGTGTTGAAATATTTTTTTTTCTTTTGTCTATATGTCGAGATAAATAAATAAAGGTCTTTTCTGTTCTCTAGCTGATAAGGAAAAATACAAAGGAAAGCCTTGGCTTTTTCACTCTATAGTTCAATACCATACGCGAGACGTCATTAGACGTATGTATTGCATGACAGAATTTGTATTTTTCACCATTCAAAGCGAACTGCACAGATGGCGCATATCGATTGATTGAATAGATTTTCTGTCGGCAAAAACACTTTAATAACAAAGATACTGGATTTTTGTAAAATATGTCAAAGCAGTTGCTTTTTTTTAACAAATATACATTTTGAATATGCTGTCAAAGGAAAATATCGACTGATTTTAAAATACTTATATTCCTCTTCAACGAAAATAGTGGCAGTTGAACACTTTATTAATTTGTACAACCAATAATAATCAATAATTTGCTTTGAGTAGAAACCATAGTTTAATGTAAATAGTAAAATATTCTCTACTTTCCACAGCTAATGTCAATGCCTTACCGAAATAAAACTCGTTCCCCAACAGAATACATGAGCAAATACTCGCATGAAGAATCATCCGGGATACATCTAACCTATATCCATTCACAGTTCGTCTGCCATTAGAATCCATCATTGAGAAAAATGCGACAGCGTTCATGAATGATACTATTAACAAATGTTAGTTCGTTCAGCATAAAGGTGATTATTACCCCGAGGATGCATGAAAATAGTGATGGGTGAGTGTGGGTAATTTTCTCTACCGACTTACACCCACACTCTGTTTACAATTGAAAAACAAGGAATAAAGATAATTGTGTGATACGTGTAGGAATGACCAATGACTTGGGACTAGTTCAAATAATAAATAAATGTGCGATAAAGACAGAAAAGTGGAACAATACGATTATCAACCAACGAATGTTGATGAATCAGTTTTTCAAAATAGAAGTTAATTTCATATCTGTCTCAATCAAGTTTAATGTGAACTTCATATGGGTGCTATGTGTGAACTATTTCACAAGTTTTTTTTCTAATTTTTGATATTATTTTGATCTGTTACTTACCACCATGAAGTAAATGAAAACACATATATTTAAAAAAAATTATATCGACGGCGTCGGATGGGGTGGGGGTATTCTTTTCTTTCGGATTTATACCCACATCCCACACACACACACACCATCTAAACATTTATTTTTTTTTGTCTTTTGGAAAAACTATATGACATACGACATAAATCGTTGGTAACAGTAACTCTTCATGGTGGACTTGGATCTTATTGACTAACTGTATTACAAGCAATTATTCAAAATTCATATTCATTTTCTTTAATAAGTTGTTCAGTTTTAATTTGATTTATATCTGATGTAGTGATTTATTTTGTTAGTTTTAGTCTACATGAACTTTCTTATAAACGAGGTTCAACCAAATAACTTGTAAATAGTGTTTAACGATAGTTCGATGATGATGCGTCTTGAATACGACATGTCGTTGACAATATTTTATCGATAAATGAAGCTATCGATATAGATGGATGATCTATGTATTAATTTTCAAATTTCTTGGGTAATTGATATAGAAAATTAAACAACGAACAAATAGCCTCAAAGAATAGGATGAGCTTAGTTAAATTATTACGAAGTTCTTTTTCGTAAATAAAAGACGTAAGTAAAGTTAGCACCAGATTCGAGTATTTCTTGTCCGGATTCGCTTTCTTACCTGTGTTAGCTCTCTAAGCACTTGTGTTACGTGCCAAATTTTACGCTCCATCCAATGGTACTAGTTTCAAGGTGGGTCATCGGGCAAAAACCACCACTTTTCCTCCAAATACTCATAAATTCCCTGTGTAACAATAACGAATATGATGTATTTCTTGTCCGGATTCGCTCTACGACTTATGTTGAGTTTCTAAACGACTGTGTTGGATGCAGAATTCAATTCTCTATCCGATGGTACTATTTCGAATTAGTGTCGTCGGGCAAAAACCGGGGGGTATGCCACAAATACCGGGCTCAGTACCCTATCTTGTGTGTAATTCTTGTCCGGATTCGCTCTACGACTTGTGTTGGCTCTCTCATTGAGTGTGTTGAATGCAGAATTCAATTCTCTATCCGATGGTACCACTTCGAAGTAGTGTCATCAGGCAAAAACTAGGGGTTCTGTCTCAAATACAGGGTCCAGCACCCTATCCTGGATGTATTTCTTGTCCGGATTTGCTCTACGACTTGTGTTGGCTCTCTCATTGAGTGTGTTGGATGCAGAATTAAATTCTCTATTTGATAGTACTATTTCCAAATAGTGTCACCGGGCAAAAACCGGGGGTTATGCTCTTAATACCGGGTCCAGCATCTTATCTACGGTGTATTTCTTGTCCGGATTCGCTCTACAACTTGTGTTGGCTCTCTCTGTTATGGCAGGAGATATCTGTCCTGCCATAAGTATGTTCTCTCTTCTCTTTCGGTTTCAATCTATCACGTTTACAATCATTCCATTCCTCTTCTCGTATCTGTTCTATTTAAACCAGTGTTAGTGTTTGAAGAAAAGGGGAAATTATTTCTTGGTGAGAATGTGATAATAAGAAGAAGTCGAAAATAAAGGAGAAGATTGTAACACTCTCATTGAGTGTGTTGGATGCAGAATTAAATTCTCTATGGAATAGTGGCATTTTCATGGGTAGTTATTGAGCGAAAATGGGGGGAGGCTGCACCCGAAATACGAGTTCCGAGACTTGTTTTAACGCTTAATTTTCGTCACGAAATTTTATACACAGAGTTCCAGTGTGGACCAATTGTCAGAAGACGAATCTGTATTGGAAAAACTATTAAACCTTTTGTATCTGATGCATAGCAACATGAGGGTGAGTGTAACGTGTTCAGGAGAATGCATTTTTTTTATTCTGCTCTGTATTGAAACTGATTGAAGCTTTCTGTTTATCTTTTTAATTACTAAGGAAAGTGTATCTGTGCGAAGGGCTATGAAGTAAGAAGCATAATTGGAAAGGATTCACTATTTTGAAGTTTTTCCAGTTGGAATAAGTCTCCTTGTACCGTGCAATAGTGAACGGAAATAATATCCGATATCCACATATCATGTATTTTATTTATTTTGGAAGTATCTACTGATTTTGAACACCCAGCGAAATCTGAACTCCTCAGCTTCATGAATTCTCTTCATCACCTTCAAAGACAAAGGCAAATAAAATACATCAATAATATGCGAGAAGCTCTCACAACATTACAAAAGTCCAAAAAGTCTATGCATATGTCACCAATTTCATAGATATTGTGTATAGCTTCTCACCATCGGTGGGCCACATGCGGCAAGAAGATCTCTACGCCCAGTATTAAGATCACCGACACCCTCTCTCACTAGATCAATATATTTTGAATGAACTAACCTCCGACATCGATAGATTGCGAATAAACCTTTCCTTAATAAAAATTGCTAAACAACAATAATAAAATTCAATTGCGCAGCAGCGCTCAAGAAAACTCACTAAAACCATTCTCCACCACACAAATATTCGTTCAATACTTACCCATACTTAAAACCAAATCCTCACAAATAGTTTCCCTTTCGACAGACAATGAACACCGTTAAAACAAACCAGCGACAGCTCCTATTCATCACAACGCGCTTACCCTCAACATGTTGGTCAACATCAATATTCTTCGTTGTTTCTTCCATCCAATATCCTACCATTCCATACAGACTAAACTATCTGATACAACTGAATCCATTAAAATCTGACATCAGCTTGTAGAGAAAATCGACCAAAGGCTTACACTGGATATGCTCCTCGACCTAGAGTTTGCTCTGTTACCGTTTTTTGCTGAACAACACGACTTCCAAATGATGCCATCGGATACAAAATTTACTTCTGCACCCAGCACACTTTCTTAGAAAGTTAACACAAGTCGTAGCGCGAATCCGGACAACAATTACACCCGAGATAGGGTACTGGACACGGGGTATTTGAGGCATAAGGGCTGGTATTCACCCGATAGCACCACTTTCAAAAAGTACCATCGGATAGAGAATTTAATTCTGCATCCAACACACTCAATGAGAGAGCCAACACAAGTTGTGGAGCGAATTCGGACAAGAAATACACCCTAGATAAGGTGCTGGACCCGGTATTTGGAGCATAACCCCAGTTTTTGCCCGATGACACTATTTGGAAATAGTACCATCAAATAGAGAATTTAATTCTGCATCCAACACACTTAATGAGAGAGCCAACACAAGTCGTAGAGCAAATCCGGACAAGAAATACATCCAGGATAGGGTGCTGGATCCTGTATTTGAGACAGAACCCCTAGTTTTTGCTTGATGACACTACTTCGAAGTGGTACCATCGGATAGAGAATTGAATTCTGCATTCAACACACTCAATGAGAGAGCCAACACAAGTCGTAGAGCGAATCCGCACAAGAATTACACACAAGATAGGGTACTGAGCCCGGTATTTGTGGCATACCCCCCGGTTTTTGCCCGACGACACTAATTCGAAATAGTACCATCGGATAGAGAATTGAATTCTGCATCCAACACAGTCGTTTAGAAACTCAACATAAGTCGTAGAGCGAATCCGGACAAGAAATACATCATATTCGTTATTGTTACACAGGGAATTTATGAGTATTTGGAGGAAAAGTGGTGGTTTTTGCCCGATGACCCACCTTGAAACTAGTACCATTGGATGGAGGGTAAAATTTGGCACGTAACACAAGTGCTTAGAGAGCTAACACAGGTAATAAAGCGAATCCGGACAAGAAATACTCGAATCTGGTGCTAACTTTACTTACGTTGTTTTATTTCAATGTTGTATTTTTCTTAGATTTTGATCTTCTTTGCTTTAGCAGATTAAATTTATCATTCCTAATTGAGACATTTGAAAAACGAAGAATATCTTATCTTTTCAATCTGTTGAATATATTCATTGATACAAAACATTCATATTAAAAAAGAACCATAATTCGAAGTAATCTATCAAGTACTTATTCTTTTCTTAATTCCTTCTATTTGATAATAAATGAATACTTAGATAGATTGAAAGAGCTGTCATCTTTTTTGCTTTGATAAATTTTGAATTTTCCATATCATCGACTATACTTAAAGCAGTTGACATTATACAGGCTCAGATGAATTCTTCGAAATAATTATTTAAATAAATCAATTGACAAGAAATAAACTTATAAAAAATTCTTAAAATTGAAATTAATATGCAACTATTATATCTGTATTCTCGATATATGTTAATAATACCAAAATAAATTTAAATTAGAAATGTACAGTTTCAATTGATTAACCACCGACACTACCTACTCAGTTTAGTTAGTTCACATCGAATTATTGAAACATACCGCTAGAAAAAGGACATATTTTGATAGAGTTGGTGTTTCGAAGCTTCACAGTGAACAACGATGCCAATTTAATCATTATCTTATTGAAACTTGTGTGAATAAGTGACGATCAATATTTATAGCAAGATTTGTAAATTCCTAACTGAAATTTAATCTCTTATCTGTTCAAGTTTCTATTGAAATATTTTTTTAAATTTTCGAATACATATAAAAGTAAATATAAAGTAAAAAAATACCTTTCTAAAAGTATTTTTTGCTGGTGTAAAAATGTTCATTTGAATATCCATGGCTAAATCTGAATGTAATGGAACAACATCATAATTAAATTTTATACATTCATCATCATCATTTAAATTAAATTTTGCTGAATCTGGTTTTCCACGTGGAAATCGAAGAGTTTCATGAACTGTTTGAATTTCAAGTAAACCAGAAAGAAAAGCAAGTATAGTAGCACGTTTAATAGGTAAATTTTTTGTATGATACTATCTTCATGATTGCAAGACTCTTTTTTTAATTTAATAGCAAGATCAATTGCTTCACGAGATAAACGTGTTTCACTTAATTTTAAATCTGCATGGTAAATAAAACAAAAAATTGAAAATAATATTTTTTTTCATTAATAAAAGAAACACTAACAAGGCCATAATTTTGAATATGTTCTAAATACATATCTTGAACATAAAAAAGTTGATCATCTATTTGAAATTCAAAAGCTGGAACAATTTTTTCATTAATAACATGTTGAAAGTAATGAGCTACTTTATCTATTTCAATTGTTACTGACATTAAAATTATTTTAGCATTTTTGAGAATTTCGAAGTCATAATGTACGAATTAATATTAAGAGAAAATCCATTGGTTTATCACGTTCATGAACCTAAAACAAAAATAAAACATTTCAAAGAAATGCGCTTTGTTTTTTTCTTCGAAAATTAATTTGAAAATTTACTTCATCAAGAATAATATGTTTAAAATCTTGTAAAGTTTTTGTTAAAATTAATCTTTCTAAACACCAGCTGTATAATATAAGATCCTTGTTAATTCACAACATTGTTTATTTAAACTTGTTTAATAACCAACGGTTTGTCCAACAAGCCAATTTCTTGAACGTGATATATGTTCACAAAGTGAACGTGCAACAATACGTCGTGATTGTGTTACAACAATATTAACCGGTTTTGAACGTTTAACATAATCATCTAAAATATGTTGAGAAATTTATGTAGATTTTCCTGGTCCTCTATTTCTTTGAATAATTGTTATTGAATTTGTTTCAATAATTGATAATATTTTATCTTTTTATGCATAAACAGGTAATGTTGTATCTTAATTAATCCATTGTTATATTTCTTTATAATCATCAAATGTTTCCAATGCATGTGATATACCAAATATTTTGTCGAATTTTTTCTTTATCAGCCTCATTTTGTGCACCATCAGGATCTGTTAGTCCTTCAGTATCAGACATATGTTCTTGATCTTGATCTCGATTTTTATTTAATCGAGATAAACGTTTATTTATTGATGAACTAACTGTTGTACTTCCAAATTGTTGACTTGTTGAACTACTAATTGTTGTTTCATCATCATTATCACCCAAAACACCTTTATTCCAGCACTGAAAAAAAACATATTTATTTCAAAAAGATATCGACTTAATCGTTCAAGTTGCTTTCTAACATTCATCAAATGAACATTATCTCGGTTGAAAAGTGATTTGACACTTGAAGAGGTTCTCTCGTCGTCTTTTTAATCCTTCTTCTGTTCATAATAAACGCTCCATTGTAATTCGAAACTTGGCAATATTAGTCTAAAGGAATAGGACCAAAACTGTTCTTTAGCAATGAAATTAATCGAAAAAATTTTGTTTCAATGAAATTTTCAAGATATTCTATGGAATATGAATCAAAGATTTGATTTAACGTCTGAAATAGATGCTGATATATGTAAATTCTTGTAAATCGACTTATATCAATAAAATGAAATTACAAATTTTATGAAGAAGTTTTGTTTCTTACTTGTAAAAATTCATTGTCATACCTTTGTTGAAAATCACAAGCATAAGCTTTTTCATCAATTGGTAATAATTATTTTCTTGAGAAAGCAAAATTTTAAATTATTTTTTATTTTCAGTTAAGAAAAAATAAACTTACTTTTCATGAAATGTTGCATTTGGAATAATATCAATTTTATTTTTTATTTAATTGTTGAACTTCTTTTTGTTGTTATTCAAATGATGTTGGACGAAGATATTGAACAGTTTTACGTTCATTTGTATTTAATGTTAATTTATCAATCGAATCTGTTGTAGAATTTAGTCGAGTTGGAATAATACGAAAATAACTTTCAATATTTTGTGCAATTAAAGATTCAGCTGTGGAATACAAAGAATTTCCAGGACCATAATTTGGAACAAATGATTTTTGTTTCACCGATATTCGAGGATCATTTTGCATTGATATCAAAACGATTAAATAAGATAAATTTTTATTTGATATGAGGGCCTTTTTTTAGGAAGAATCTAACGATCAATCAAAATTTTCTATTTTAGTTTTTGTGGGAAATTTAAAAAAAAATAAAGAAAATATGTTTTCTAGTTAAGATATTAAAAGTTTTTATTGATTTTTATGTTGATTCTTTTTTGAATACTTCGATGAAGGGAAGGACGCCACGTAATAGTATTTGTAACGATTGATAAATATTCAAGAGCATTTTTTGAATCAAACAGTCACGTTTTATATAAGACTCAAGTCTCGGTTCAAGTTCACAATGAAAACAAGAAAATATTCGAAAAACACATTTGCCTAAATCTCTCTGGAACTCGTGCATTCTAGTTTTATAAAAGATCAATATATTCTTGAATTCCATTGAATCCTATAAAATCAAATTAGATTGTTCTGTTCTTTTTATTGATCTTCATAGGTTAAGTAACTTATTAACGTACAAACTCCTAAAATGACTGATAGTAGACTTGAAACAAAGAGTTTTGAATGGAAAATAACACCATTCTCCTTTGTAAAAAATGATGCTCTGAAAAAAACAATTGTTCTGTGAGTAGAAAATGATAAATGAACTTATTTAGAAATGTATAAAAGAAAGGATCGTGTTTAATAAGAAATTCTCTTATATTTTTTTGAGCCTATAATAAAAAAAAAATAAACGCCGTGAAACGTAGGTAAGCTTAACATCATATTCGACCATTTCTTGGCCCGATTCCCTCCATGAGATTTGTTGGTTCTCTAATTGAACTCATTATGTAGAGAATTTCGTTCTATGTCGAATGGTACTGATTCCTAAAAGGGATATTTGAGTAGCAAAATAGAGTTTTCATTTGAAATACTGGGCTATTGAACCGTTTTTGCCTGTAAACCTTGGTCGAATTCACCGTATGCCTTTTGTTAACTCTTTTTACTCTGAGTTATTTGAATAGTAACACTAGTTTAGATCTTGTAGTTACTGATCCTGTGAATGGTGGTAGAGATTCAGGATTATATTTAATCGTTATTAATAATGAAAAAAAAAGATAAGCGACTTGATCTTGCCGTTGGTAATGGTGATGGAAATTATTTAGGTCTATTTCTCGGTGATGATGATGCAGGAAGTTTTTCAGACCAGATAACACAGTATATTGAATCTGATTCATAGGGATAGTATATTAGATATTGAAACAGCTAATTATTATGGAAACAATTGAAGTCTACTTTATGAAAATAATGACAAAACTTTCAGGCAACAAGACACTTTTTCTACTGGTAATGGATATTTATCTTATGCCAGTACTATTGGTGATTTAATACAGATAATATACAAGATTTTATCGTTCCTAATTTTGATTCAGATAATGTAGGTATATGATTCGGATATAGTAAAGGAAAATTTAGAAATAAAAAAAACTATTCAGTTGAAGTAAATGCTGGAAATTGTAATGAAGATAATCGACTGGATTTTATCTTTGTGCATTGTAATTATAAGACAGTCGACATCTTTTTAAGAACAGGTTCGCAAAGCTAATGTTGATTTCAATTCTTCAAATAATTCTTATTTTAACTACGTACAAACATTTACCACTTATGAAAAAACTATCGATTTATATACTCTTTTATGCTTATTGTTACAAATCAATAAAATACAGTGTGTAGATTTTTGTTTAACTAGTTTGAATATATTGTTTTTTTTTCGAGTGACCATAAATGATAGTGCTCAATAGTATTAAAATTGAGATTTGAACTCGATATCATATTGAAAGAAATGGATTAAAGAGTTTCATTTGATTGAATTGATCATATATTATTAATTGCATTAAAATATTTTTATATAGCGGGTGTGGGTGTGGGTGGATGTGGGTGTGGGTATACATGGGATGAGCACCCACATCCACACCCGCACCCACCCACACCCACACCCACACCCACCCACACTCACACCGCACACACACCCCACACCCACACCCTCCTCATAGGGAAATATATTTGCTACTCTTCGCATTTCTGTCAATCAATATATAGAAACATCCAATTTATGGAATGGCAGAAGCAATACGCTATTGATGAAAAATCACGTAGTTCATGCCGGAAACTAAAGTCTTTGTCATTGATGCCAAGTGATTTTGATAGTCGAATAAACAATGTTTGCAAAAACTATGGTTTATTTAATGAAGTAAAACAATCAATTTACGTGTCTTAATTGCAAGTTTCCAAAATAGATTGAATTCTCGTCTGTCTCGTAATCATTGAAATATGTGAGATTTAATTAATTCTATGAAAAGAGAAGACGAAAAACGTGTAAAACGTACTTAACTTCAAAGGTGTTTTGATGCATATAAACTGAAAAACATCAGAACAAAAGGATTACAAAGTTGAATAAATATAGCATCTGATCTTCTTAACAGGCTGTTTTTCTTTGTCTTTTAGTCTTCTTGTTTCAATAATAAACGTTTGATTGGAATTAAGTTTGTTGGTTCATTGATTGATTCTCAGAATGAAAAACTATTTGAAAGTATCTGAATTTCAATAAAATTAAAGATAACCAGTTTAATAATCACTGGATTCCGAACACTTTCGAATATTTCACCGTAAGAAACCTGTTGATTTCATCTAATAGACCTACGGAAAAAATTTTCTCGAGAAACCTCTGTAAACAGCGGTTTTGCGTATCGCGGTATTTACCGGTTCCAAATCCCTCGTTATCGGTACTGATAACCGCGGTATTGAATATTACGGTATGTACCGGTTTCACAAACCGCCATACAATGGGTGAAAACCGCGATACTGAAGATAACGGTATTCATCGGTTTCAGAAACCGCGGTTTTGCATATCGCGGTATCTACCGGTCCCGAATCCCTCGATGTGGGTACTGATAACTGCGGTATTGAACATTGCGGTATCCACCGGTTCAAAAAACCGCGGTATCAAATATCGCGATATCTGCCGGTTTCAGAAATCGTGTTATACCTAATGTTTATTATTAAGTGGGATTGTGTAAGGACAACGAGGATGTCGTGCCCAATTATTTTTCAAAAATTTTACAGAGATTGACTTATACTATGTCTAACTGCAAAGCGACTTTGTGGTAATGGAACTTGAAAAAGTTCACTACACACCCCTCGGAGGGTAGCCCATCTGAAGATTGTGATAAATTCAGGTGGTCATAGCAATCGTGAGTCAGGTCTGCAGACTTTGGCATTTTCAGCAAAATCGCGGTTTTAAGCGACCTGAAAAAACCGCGAAAGTCAGACCGTTTATTCGGTTTTTAAAACCGCGGCGTAATTATACCGCGATTTTAGCCGGTGTTGAAAAACCGAATAAACGGTCATACTTTCGCAATTTCTTAAACCGTTAATAACCGCGGTGGCAAATATCGCGGTTTGTCGCGGTTTTTCTTCAAAAATTTTTCTGTGGGTATGCCGACTATGGATACTTCTTGGACAGTTGCTATTGGATAACACTGAATTAAATATCGCGCTAACCCCGCACAATGAAATAAATCATCTTCATCGTCTGTTTCTCATGTATCGAGAACAATTTTTAGTATTTATATTGAATGTAGAGGTGAAGCCGATGGATCGATCGGCGACGGCTGATTCGAATTTGTTGTCTCCTCAGCGGCAGTGGCGGCTGGAAATTTTGAAAATGAGAACTGATTTCAGGAATAAGAAACATCGGTTTATTTTAATATCTGATTATTAATATTTTCAAAAACCTAAATAAAATAGCTGTACTTGGGACGTTAGTTTAATCAAGTCATTACATGTAGGCAACACAAAGATTAGTATAATGAATTACTCAACAACTTTGCTTCAGAATGAAGAGATTCAGTGATCCTAAAGATGGACAGACCTAACTAGTGTGCATGAAGAGGTAAGAAAACTTACCTATTTTAGTTTTTAAGAATATAGATTGCAAGACAATCTCTAAACAGCATTAATTTTGATCCATGTCCGAGCTGTTGTTTTAATTGTACAATTTTTGTTGTATAGTAATTTAGAGAAAAAACGGAGGGAATATACTACTTTATTGATTTGATTTGTGGAGTTCCTATCGCTTGATGGATTGACAATAAGACAATTATCTATTGTTTGTGGCTGATGTATCACTGTAAACGCTAATTCTTTTTTTGATTGAGAGTATGAACTATCATGTACTCGTTCAAATTTTCACTTATCGAAGCAAGTTTTTTAATAAATTTTTCAATTATTCAACGTTTTATTTGCTCCTTTGTGCAAGTGCCGCAAATGATAGCAAATAAACTTTTGCTTTAATTCACTCAATGACTCTATTACGGTAAAAAGTCTTTCATTGAACTTATGAAAATTCATTATATCGAGTAATAGATTTAGATATAAATAAAACTTAGACCATTAACATCAATTGAAGTACTTTATACTTTTATTATTCCTGATACAGAGCATTAACTTTTCGTACATTTAAGCAGCTGGAAAGATTTAGAAAAAAATTCACAACTCAAACGTAACTGAAAACGGATTAAAACTTTGAATTTTCACATTCACGTACCGACCGCTGCACCTCTTGCTGCTGATCTGCGGCGGCTTAGAAATTCTCAAAACTTTTGCTGTCACGGCGGCTCAGCCGTACGGTTTATACCTCTAGTTGAAAATACTTATTGTAATGAAATATGAGTCAGCAGTAGAGCGTGCTACTTTTTGTTTATTAATCTTTACATTAAACAATTAAAGATAACGATATGATTTTTCTATGAATACAACGAAAAAATTCCTTATAGAATTTCCGGAGAAATTAATCCAAAATAGCTTACACCATGAAGACTTAGGCTTCTCTGAAAACAATGTTTTATGGTTTATATTAAAAAGAAAGACATTCAAGCTTTTCCGCGAGATTTTATATCCAATGAATCGTTGAAGTAAATGTTCTACAATATATTCGATTTGTTTCCAAATCTAGGGATAGAATCACACATTGCAGATATCTTCATTCAATT